AGTGATCAGAGGAGACGTAAAGAGCGTGGGGACTCGGAGAGGGGACATTCCCCCTTCCTCTTCCCAGAATCGGTCAAGATTAATGCAAAAAGAAAATTTACTATACCATAATACAGGGTGGCCCATTTAAAAGTGGACCCGGAATCATACCATCTACAACCATTCACTTCCAATAACCTTCGCTGCCGCTAACGAGTGCCGAGCGGATCCACTTTTAAATGGGCCACCCTGTGCAAGGGGGTTTTGAACGCAGAGAATGTGTGAAAGTGAGAGGGGAAGTGGCTGTGGAAGGAGATGCAAGGGAAAAGAGACTGTGGAAGGAGGTGCGGGAGGAATGATGAGAACCAACGCCCACGCTCTCCTCCCACTCAAGTAATCAGCACGTTAGAACTTGTGCCCTTTCCGCCTCCACCTTGCCCCCTCACGTCCCCTGGGACGTGGTCTGAATGAAGTGAAGCCAAATCTTGAACTCGAAAGGCGGAAGATTGGAGAGCTACTGGTACATTCTTAATTTTTTTTTGATGTGGAGACTTCTACGTCCTTCCCAGTCAAAAAATTTTCATCGGGCCATCGATGGCTTTTCGTCGACGCGTCTCTAAGCCGTAGTTGGGCCATCACTGGCATATGGTTGCCTTACGGTTGGTTTAAGCCGGCTTATGGTCGGGCATGTCCTGTTGGCCCATCATTGGGCCAACTATGGCTCATTGTTGGGAAACCGCACATGTCCCAACCATAAGCCGACTTTTCACAATGACGAAAAGATATAGGAAAAAAAAATCGACAAAAGGCGCATCTATAGCATTACGCATTTTGGAGAAATTAAAATGTATCCTTTGGTTCTCTCCTGCTCCTTCATTTGGGAGAGATCTAGGATAGGAACCTTGTCCGAATACCTTACACAGGTACACTCTTATCACCGCGTGTTGAGTATATCCTAAGTAACACCCTTACTGAATATAACGGCATGCAGAAGCAGAATTACACATGAACGCAAGGGTATCATTTTTCCCGCAGGAGAACCTAGTACTCCATTCATGTAATAAGACTTTTCTGTCTTGTGGGGGAAAATTATATCCTGTGGTCTATCGTGGAAAGTAGAAGGATCCTCCCACTGACCTCAAAGCAGGAATTTCCTGGTTTATTCCAGGGCTAGGTTTCATCTTTCGAGAAATGTTTCAAGGAATTCAATTGTCTCCCTCTGAGATCTATTTGAGAAACCATAGGGAACTGTATCAAAGGGAGAGGGGACTCATTTCCGTAGAATCCGAGAAGTGACTCCCTACTGCGACTACTTAAGCTCCATCTCACGCCGGTTTTCGGAACCTTCTCAGCCACATTGGCTCATCTCCAACGAATGATAGGCCGGCCAACTCACAAGTGACTCACAAGTGTGAGTTGGCCGGCCAATCATTTGCCGTAGATGAGCCAACTTCCTCAGCTATGGCCTAACGATAAACCAACGAAAATTTTTATACTGGTTTTAGCTTCTTCTTTCCAATCCTAAAGGCGGCGTGTTACGATGTCATAAGGAAACGTTAATTTAACGCTGAGATTGCTGCTGGGGTCGTCGGATCCCTGCACGGAGAGATTCAAAAGCTATTTCGAAATACTTCCACTTCGCCTGAAAGCTGAATGAATTTTTCAAGGTTCCCGAGGGAAAAACTCGGCTTCTTCTCTACGCAGGGTCCTTCTGCTGCCTTTTTGACCCCAAAAAGCCACGTAACCGAATTAACCTTCAGAGGGCGGCATCTTTTTCAAGAGTCCGCCTGCCAAGACGGAGGTGAATTTTTCTTAATTAACGCAAATGTATCCTTTTCATTAATTCGGTTTCCGGTCCTGTTCCAATTCGCATTTGCATCAGGAATAATAGTTTCTTTCAAAAGTAAATGACCTAATGCGTCAAATTCATCGTCGATGATCAGAAGAGAGAACATGTAACTTTGAAAATTTTCAAGGAAAGAATTCTTCCTTTAGAATGCCATATCTTTAAATAATGAACGTTCAGTTCATTATTTAAAGATATTTCCCTTTGTAACAATGAGTTGCGACTGCCTGCTCCCAGACGTAAAGTCAAATATTTCATAAATATCATTCTTAAGTTTAAAAAGCACGAATTTTTATTTATTTCTCTTAAAACTTAAAAAAATTGAACATACGCCCTTTTGTCAGATCAACGACGACACGACGCACTCGTCCTTCAGGCGAAAAAAAAACGGAAAGCCCGCCCGATAAACCCATCTCGCATCCCATGAGATGTGATAATCACGCGACCGAGAGGGAACCCGACCGGGAACCTTACACCTGGCGGAGTCAATCTGGGGAACTTGGAAATGCTCCTGGAGCGAAAATCTCTGGATTTTTTTTTTAACGTTGCCCATCTACCCATTAAACAGTCCTAAATTTTTTATCATTTATTTTCGCAAGGAATCCGCTTCCGGCATCTTCTTAAGCACTTATCACCACATTCAAGGTCTAAGGTAAGCATTCAATTGCGCCGGAGAGTACGATAACGATCAGAATCTTAGAATTATTATCGCTATCATATACTGAATAAATTCCCTTGCTGATGGGAATAAATGAGATTTCGGCCAAGTGCACAGTGGCATCAGCGATTACTTTAAATGCTTTAAATTGGGGCGGAATGCAGGTGGAACGAATTTTTCAATATATGCTCTACCCGAAAACATTAAGGGTTCGAAACGGATGCTCATAAGCTTTAACTCAAGACCTCATGGAATAATTATCCTATGACTGGTGTGAAAAAGAAAGACGAGACCAGGGGTGTCAAACAGGCCATTTTGTTCGTCTGCATAAAAGTTTAGGAATATGGCTTTTGTTGTGGCCCCTAATCGCCCTTGAAGGCTTCCATCCGGCCCCCCGCCTTATCGAGTTCGACATCCCTGGACTTGACCGTTAGAGAATGAATGCCTCCTAGGCCAAAACCTAAATTTAAATCACAACCCCAGGGTGAAGTGTTCTATGTTGAGAGTCCTCCCGAAAAAAAGACAATTCATTAAACTCCTTTTTGATACTCGGCTTGCCTATGGTGCATTTTTGTACACACCACAATCAGAGCCGACGGTGCTTGTCTGCTTGTTAGAATTCCATTTAGCATTTTGAAAGGGAAGAGCAATTTCCTGTCCTTGCAGTTGAATATCGCCACGATTGAAAAAGGGGATGAATGAAGGCCTGCTCTTCAAATATTAGCCTTTTCCTTAATTTCCTTGAAATTTCAGCCTTTTTTTTCTCTCTCCGATTCAAGAGAGATCGTGCGAGACGCGGAAGCTTCTACTTCTGCTTTCTACGATCCCATTATCGTGGCTTTTAAATTCGGGGAGCACGTGCGGTTTCTGACACATGAATCGTCTCATCGTTGACTGCAATCCAGTTTCTAATGAGGCGATTTATGTTAGCAGCTGTACATCGATACACGTACACGTAGTTTTCTGGACTGTTTAGTACTTTCGACCGCGAATGGACAAAATGTCGCCGATAAGCAAATATCACCGGCAATAAAAAAAAGAAGTAAATATTCACTTTCTCTACATTTCAATGAAAGTATTCAAATTCATCCAGCAAAACTTCCCCCCCTAAAAGTAGAAAGCGAAATGACGCATATACCTCCCGAAACAGCACCGTCAGATTAAAGACTTTAAGCTCGATCCAAATTAAGCCAGCCCCCTGTCGCCCCGCCGACTGTCAATCACGGTCGGGCTCGGTTGAATGTCCCATTTCCCGATTGCAGTCGGGGAACTCAAGGGCATCTGAGCTTCATTAGTCTGGGATTCGAAACTACAGGGGAGATGAAGGTCAGAGGAACTTTTCCGAAGTAGGTTAAGGGGTTACAAAATCTTTCCTGTTCCAATCCGAGCTGCATCCGCGACAGTACCGGTAAACTTACTTTTCCTCAAAAAATCGAGAAAGGGGTTTGCAAACAAAGAATAGATATTTTGTCCGGAAAATGTTGTCGTCGCATCATAGCATAACGTAACCGATGACAAGCTACATAATGTGCAGGGTGATGATGAAAGTATCTCGTTTCCGAATGCTATAGTGCCTAAACTGTAAGGTATAGGATGGTGCCATCGCACACGAAACGACAAGGGATACATGGGGAATCCATTGCAGCTTTTATAAAACCTATGTCACCGTTGGTGGTTGCAACAATTCCGTACCGGCAGGGCTCGTCGAATATTGTCCCAGGAGTCGCCACCATATCATAATTTGCATAGTAAATATTAAAAGTCTGCCCTCTGCGCTCCTGTCACCACGTTGCGTTCTGGTCTGTTTGGCGGCATTAACGGAGCATTTGAACAAATTCTCCCACGGCGTTTCTATGGAATACGCAAATTACGCAATAGTGACGCCACGGTGGAAAGATTTTGTAAGTGCTACGATTTATTTTTCAGGTTCTGCTTTGTCGTGTGCCCTCGTTTTTTTTTTGGAGTAAAATCGCTAACTCCAGTTCCGCTCCCTTTCGGGGAAATCGTTCACTCTTTTCTAAGAGTATACTTTAGGTACTCTAATCTAAACCAATACGATCCGTCCACAGAAACCCAATAACCTAGGCACGCATCTAGCTAGTTCTAGCAGAGACGAGTCGGCCTCATCTATGATCTTATTACATAAAGAAACCTTGCAAATCTATATCCCCTGATGAGACGTCAATACGACCAGTCAGCGTGACTGATGACTGGTCGTATTGAAGAAGAGGAAGACGAACGTTGAAATCTTGTTACTCTACCTCCTACCTCCTACCTCCTACCTCCTACCTCCTACCTCCTACCTCCTACCTCCTACCTCCTACCTCCTACCTCCTACCTCCTACCTCCTACCTCCTACCTCCATGGAGGATGGAGGATGGAGGATGGAGGATTCGGCGGGGCGACAGGGGGCTGGCTTAATTTGGATCGAGCTTAAAGTCTTTAATCTGACGGTGCTGTTTCGGGAGGTATATGCGTCATTTCGCTTTCTACTTTTAGGGGGGGAAGTTTTGCAGGATGGAGGATGGAGGATGGAGGATGGAGGATGGAGGATGGATGAGGATTCGTCCACCTGCACGGAAGAACGCCATCAGGAATCACTACCCTCTGACTGACCGCGAATTAGCGATGTACCCGCTAATGAAACAGAGACGGGAGAAGAGAGATGTGAGAATGCCTTATCGAAAGAAACCACTTCATGGAAATCCTATTCGAGAAATAGGAAGTGCGAAAGAAAGAGGGGAAAAGGTATTAGTAAGGAGTCAGGAAATTTCCATACTTTGGAGCATCGAAACCGCATTAGCGGTTTTTTAAATCATGAATCCAAGCCGCATGACGATATCACGCCAAATGACGTCAGATCGTAAACTGGGCGAAATCCGCCATAAGCTTCAGGAATGGAGGAGAAGAGGACTAAAAAGAAGGGGAATTTCTTTGTTGAGCATAATAAAGGGAAGCTGGGAACCCTGACCTATTTACTCATGATGGCAGCAAGAAAATCTCATTCCTTCCGTAATGTAGCTGGTCTCTCAAAATTTCAGCAAGGGATTCTTCGACACCATCAACGGATCATAATTTTTTCGCTCTGGGATTTCATTGTCTGACAAGAGCAGGGTTTCGCATTAAAATGGATTCAAAGGAGAGAGAAAAAAGGACCGGACTTTAGAAACGAAACATGAAACTAGAAATCACCGATCAATATGCTTGAAATAAAATTCATTCTAAGGTAATGAGATAGCGATGAGAGCTGCAGCAAGAAAACCTCTAGGTATGAACCGGAAGATAACCAATTCTGATTTGCGGTTATTCTCCAAAAACATTATTTAAAAAAAAATCCATAATGAATGAAGTCGTTTCCTCCTGGTGGGGGAAAGAAATTCTCTGCATGCTGCGGGAAATAGATCGGTTCAAGCGAGTTTGGAGGCAGGAAAATGTATTCTCTCTCCGATATTAGATTTAGCTTACCAGGTTCATGCATTCGAAAGCTTGCGAGTCGAGCGCAAAGAGCATTCGGAAACAAAAGAAAATCTCAAGCTAAACCCCATATGATCGCACGATCATGAATCGATAGACGGCACCGTTTGTCAACATGATAAATGCCATATCGTCGATCGATCATCCTTAACGATGCGTCCCTGCTGACGGCCTTCATGCCCGAAACAGACCTGAGGATCGAGCTGGAAGTAATTTTAGAAGAGATTCCGTATGAGGTCGAGGAGTTCCCTCCTCCAAATTCCTAATGCTGGCTCGAAGGCTTCCCGGACGTTCGATAAAGTTATATTGCGTATTGACGAAAAGCAGACTGAGGCCAATTTCCTTGCGGAGTGTCGAGGGAAGGCTATTTCTGTCCTCTCACTGTATCGCCTATATCGACTGATACCCACCCGTCCATCCACCCACTACTTCCCATTGACGTCAGTCCTTTCTTGGCTTCTGATTGGCTGCAGGTTTTCTTGAATGAAGCCCCGGAGCCAATCCAGATCCAGGACGCATGCCCGGCAACAGTCTTCTTGTGAATCGAGCACGGCTGAAAAAAGCCGAGGAAAAAGGAGATTTTCCATGCGGGGGTGGATGAGGGCCTCGTATATAAAACCCCCCAGCATTCTCCTTCTCCTTATTCATTCGTAGATCGACACCCCGTGCAGTCTGAGTCTTCGAGATTCGGAAGGGACGTCTTCCTCCATTCGAGTTTCGTTTACTGCTATTTTCGATCAACGATTCATCTGAGAGTCGACACAGAGACAAGTGAGTCGTCGATTAAGTGCTTTGCATAATTAATAGTGCACAATAAGCTAGAAGGACTCTGGGGGCAATCTTCTTCAGTGCCATATTACTCGAGTGCCCGATGGAGAACGGGAATTGGTATAGTAACTTGGTGAATGCTTATTATTCCCCGTATTCCCTAAATATGTCAGATGAAGTTGAATAATAGATTAGGACTGTGGAGCCAAGCATGAGGTTCGCGTCATAACAGACGTCACCTTCTGCATGGGCCTATTGACGTCATTTGGGATCGAAGGAGACTGCCCAGACGAATAGCAACCGTTGCTCGTTTTTAAGGCATTCGCTTATCGACTGAGCTGCAGTTGGTTCCTGAATTTTTCGTGCAGAGCTGAAGAGAGCCATGGAGACAGGAACGGGAATTCTGCTTGGGTTTTTCGCCGCCGTATGCATCCTGGGATGTCAGGCGTACCCGGCTGATCCAGGTTATACCTTGGGAAGAATCTCCTATTATGCGCCTGCAATCCCGAGACCGGAGAAGCGGTTTAGTTACTACGAGGACTACCTCGGCTCCTCGGATCTCTTCCAGCAACCCGAGGATTATCCGTACGAATACGACGAAGAACGATGGCTGGATTACCCCGTGGACATGAACGACCTGGAACGAGTCCTCATGGAGGAGGGCGACAAGAAAGCGGTGGATGACGACATCCTCCATCGCCTCTTCGACCTGGAACAAGAAGAAAAACAAGACACGGAGGGAAAGGGAAACTCGATCGGAGAAGAAAACGTGGAAACCCCTCAGGCTCGGCAATTGGAGTACGAGATCGGATTGCTGAAGAGATACAAGCCGGAAGAAGAGGCCGAGACGTCGACGACCACGACGACGACCACGACTACTACTACTACTACCGCAGCAACGACGGAAAAGCCCTCAGCGGAGAAGGTGTCGGCCCAAAAAGGCCAAAAGGAAGTGCCACTCTACAGACCCGGTCTTGGAGATTTCCCCGAGCTTCTCAAGGAAACCAATGCCGAAGCCATCAAGAGGTTCTTGGCTGCCCGACGAGAAGTGAGTATTCTTCCCATCCCGATGATAAACACGAGTTTCGAAACCACGTTCGAGAACCTAATTCGTTTTTGCCTTTCTTCGATACAGACAGATGCAGAAGGTCGACTGAAGAAGCGATTCGTGTCGTCCGAGTATTCCTTGTCGGAGCAACTGGACAAATTGAAAGAACATCGATCCTAAACAGACCTGCTGAGTTGTTTTCCACCGATTTCTGCCCCGCACTGTGATATGATTATCCCGCATGTTATACAGTATCCTCTCTATCCACCATAGGGGTATATATTGTATACGAGGTTTCCCAAATTCCGTGAGATCGGGTGTGTCCCCTCGTGCGTGACATGATAACTGGCGACATTGCAAGTTTGCTTGTGGTGAAATAATTGTGAGTTAGATTGAATTTTAGCTCCTGCGATGACGTGCGCCTGATAATGCTCAAGAGCAGAGCGATCCAGCATAATTTTATCTCATCTGTTACATGAGAAATACGAAAGAGAGGAGAGTGAAAATGATCCCGTCCGAGAGAGAGCGAATCGAAATGCTTCTGTCCGATGACTGGCTTGTGCCCTTCCTTTGGCAGCTTCCCTTTCGTCTTGTCTATCGTGTAAGATATTACTCATTGTCGCCAAAATCATGATGATGTCCCGGAGGAGAAAATTTCGAGGGTTCTCGTTTCGTTCCATCCTTGCTACCAATGCAGAAGTCGTTCTCTTCCTAACCTCGTTTGCGTTTGTTTCAAGGGATTTTTATGACAAATAAAGGTGCTTATTTTCCTATGACACATCTCGGCATTTTCCTTCCCAGACTTCACGCAGCCAAATTCCAGAAAAGCCTCTACCGAAGGGGGAGCACGAAGGAGATCATTAGAGGAAGATCATCCGTCTCGCCGGGAAGTAAATGCGCACGAGGAAGGCAAACTCGGGAAAGGTCAAGACCTTTTCAAACCAGGTCGCTGCCTTAATAAGAGATAAAATAAAGGGGGCGGGCAATGAAGGAATCAGAGCTGCGCCAGCCGTGTTGCGCCCCGGAAAGAACACGCAATTCATAAGAGTAAAACGACTCCTTTTTCAGCTTTCTTTCCTAGTGTGCCTTGGCTTTTACCTTTTTTTTTATTATCCCAGGGCATCGGCAATATTTTTTTACGTAAACAAAATTTTGTAACGTCACAGATCATTTGATCCGCATTCTCGGCAAAAAGTCACGTGAAGATGGGCTGGAAAAGACAAAGACGTGATAATGGGATTCCCATTACTTTATTAGTAACTTCCTCAGCAGTCAGAACCTTCTGCTAGTCGGTATCTTCAACGATATGACTAATTCTCCAGTTTTATTATGCAATTTGTAACAGACGGCGATGTAAAGTTCAACTATAGGATTCGAGAAGTTATATTTCCATTTCCCGATCATAAATGTAGATAGATACCACGCTCGATTCCATTCCTAGTTGGACTTGCCAAACGCAGCGAATCGAGTTCATTAAATGAATTTGCAGTGGGGCTTCGAAATGTCCATCACAAATGAAGCAAGGACGAGAAATTGCATCGAAAACGGAAGAACTAAAAGTAGTACATAACGCCAAAAATGCAAAACGCGCTTGTAAGAAAAATTTTTTTTTTTTTAATATATTTATTATGAATGAAGGAAAGTGAGAGATATTAGGTGGCGGAGCCTGACTTTTAAAAAGGAAAAGTTTGCATCAAATTATATCATATTGGGAAAAGATTACGTAGGGACTGTGCCGATGAAAGTGAGAATAAAGGGAAGAAACAGACGGTATCGATCAAAATAAGTCTTTCATGGGGCTTTATGCACAACATTTTTCAGTCTAATATTCTTCCATTCCAATTAAACTTTGACTCCTTAATTTTTCCCTCTATTACTTCCCATAGCAATTTTTGAGACAGGAAATTCTTGAACATGTCACCCGGTTGGGCATTCGCCCACCCTTGTGACGCCCTGAAAGCCCACATTAGATGGGCGAGTGCCCCTCCCTCTCATATTTTTTGCAAGCCATAGTTGCTTGACATAGCAACTACGCCATCCAACTTGCAAGACGAAGCCAGTTGCCAAAAAGGCTCGTGATGCCATCTGATTATTTTTTCCGCTTTTCTTCCCCTTTAACCATCTAGTTGTGAAGTTACCACTCTCAATCCTCACCTCCTCCCTACATCCTTCCCCCCTCCCAACCTCCTTCCCCCCTCACCACCCCCTGTCTCTGGCAGCGCCCATTCACTGAATAGGACTTTCAGAATTGCCCGTAGAGGCATCCTTTTTTAAACGCTCAGGGTGGATCTTATTCGTATGACATAAATACATTCTCTTAGACATGAACCCATCTGGACAACTGAAGTAGAAAATGATTTCTCTCGCGAGATTTTCGCGTCTTGTGTGATAACATTCCGACCAAAACGCCCAACCAAACACTGTTAAAACGTTGAAAAAATTCCGAAGAAACAAAAAACCAGTGTCACTTTGGACGAGTGGAGTACCAATAAGAGTCGCGTGATATCATGGTCCCAAACGCACACAAAAAAAACCAAGTCTTTGCGACAGAAGAATCGCAATCGAAAGGATAAAGCAATGGAACACATGCATGTGAAGCTGTTTTTTTTTTGGGGGGGCGTAGTTTGCATAAGGAAAATTCGAGGACCGTTAATCATCAAAGCGTTCTCGTTTGCAGACAAGCTCTTCGTGTGAAAAAACACAGAGAACTTCTCTGTAAGCCGAAGAACATCCTCTTCGGTGTATTTAAGACTGCCGAGCGGTTCGAGTTTCACTGCAGACACATTGATGAATGGAAGCGGAGAAAGCCAATCTCTCGGGCAAGAGTCCAAACGAGAGAAATTCTCACTTTTCCTTCGGCGGTTTGCGGCGGGTTTATCTTTCCATCGGTGTATAAATCGCTGTACGAATCTGCTGACAAATACCGAGGGCAACGTCCATTTTTAGCTGCAGCACCCCGGCGAATCCGTTTTTGTATTCCTGGAAAAACTCCCACGTTTCAACTTTCCGCACGGCTGAAAATTCAAGCCATGACACTTTTCTTCTTCCCTCCGAGGGTGCTTCCTGGGCCTGGATTTCTTTATTATTGTTCAGGATTTAGTTTCATTTTTATTTTGCAGTCGAAACGATAAAATTATTTTAGAATTGTTTTAGAAAAAGAGTTCGAAGGCCAAGTTTTTTATTATAGGTATATTGGGATGGATTACTTATTGTATTCCCTGAGTCACGTTGCAAGGGTGGATCCTCCCACTAAATTTGTTCCCGATTGCAATAAGCGCTGCCTTGGTGTTCGATACTTTTATGCAACAAACGACACGTACATACTTGCTTAGAACAAGTGACAACAACACTTCAATAATGCGGGGTCGTTCGCGACATTCCTGACACCCAGGAATGTCGTGAGCATATCGACTTCATCCCTCTTCGGTAATTCACCACGAAAATTTATTATTTTTTATTATTAACCGTGCTGATTAACCGTGTAAATTAACCATGTAAATTAACCGTGCTGATTTTGGGGCACCCAGTACAAGTGCGATGCGGACATTCTCGAGGTTAATGCTCTGGGAAGAAAGATTTACGACCGGCTAATTTTTTCTCTCTCTGCGGAAGTTGGAAACGTTCCAACCCCGAGTAGATGGATTTTACACCATTCATAATTCTTTCCGATTCGGCTTCGGCACCCGTCTTGCACTGCACAAGGACTATCTGTTTTACCCGATCCCATTACCATCTATTATGGTGAAAATATGACCGTCGCAGAAATCCCGGGAATCTCATTTCCTTCGCCGCTAAACTCCGAGTTGAAGACCCAAAATGCGTTTTGGATCGAGCGAGCGATTACAGTGAACGAAGAAATTGCTCATAGGCCTATTTTTGGGGACAAAATCGGAGATCATCGCTGGAAGTCAATTCGTCCTAATTCGCCCATGGAAATGATTTGCCCTAATCGGGCAAATCATTCTCTCAGACAATTTCATATCGTTTTGTGAAAAGTAATCGGCCTGAATGACTCTCTAGTCGTAGCTCAATAACTCGAGTCGGGTTTCTGTGATTGCACAAAGCGTTCGGAGCTTCGTCACGGTACTTCGTCACGGTACTTCGTCACGGTACTTCGTCACGGCTCGACCCATGACCCTGGTCGTAACCGAATGCAGCCGGTTTGCGAAGTTGAACTGCCGAGCGAGGTCAGATTGAAACTTCCCGGATCGCCTGATGACGTCAAGGAGATGATCGGAGTCCTCGAAGGCGATCGTCTTGCAGTTTCTCGCAATCCGATCAAGTAGGTGCAAATCTGAGAGTGAAGTTATCGATGACGAGGTGAGCGGATCGTGATCACACTCATGCTCTCAATCTCGGTGAGCTTCTTAGAGATTAAGATCGAGGAATCTTCGAGATGGCGTTCTTCGCCCAGGGAATTTCGTTAAACGTTCTCAAATCATCCGTGTCGAAGGTATTTCTGCCTTCCAAGCTCGATCGACTTAATGCAGAATCCACCAAACGCGAAGCTACTGGTGTGGACCAGAGGCAACACGCGAAGCGATACGACATTCCTCGCCTTCGATCTATCACAGGAACCATCTTTTCTTGGGATGAGAGCTAAAAGAGATTTTTCTGCCGCCACGAGATTATATCAGTCTCACTCTCTCATCTCACTGAGCGCCACTCAACTGCCATCCACGATGCCGAATGTACTTTCATTCGAGTTCGTGCTTCCACATTCGGGGCACTGCAAAGACTTTGCCGTCCCCTTTTACCCCTAATGCCTTTTTTTTATATATAGCCCTCGATTCCTATTTTTACTTGGATGGGGTAGTCCGATCGATGGAGTCCAAGCAACCCACTCCGTCCCTCTGTCGCCCGGCTATTACCATTACTCCCTGCAAACCCTTCTGACTCGAACCGATGCCGACGGAGCCCTAATTTTCGGCCGAGCATTACAGTGTGCCGCTGCAATGAGGAACCATACAGAAGGCAATAATCCTTTTTGTCCTGTCGCCTTGGTATAGTGACATGGTCCATTCCGACAAAGGGATGAGCCTGCCTGCCTGCCCGCCTTCTCCTTTCATCCAACCCACTTTTATGGGGCATTTCTCACTTAATGACGACCGAGACGCAACAAGTATTATGCATTGCTAGCCTCATCTCCAGGCCAAAGCGCGCGTTTAGTTATTTCTACTTTCTCGATTTTTTATTTTTTAAATGGAACCTTCTGGATTACTTGACGCATTCTAAGCCAATGCTAGTTGTATTGCAACGAGACTTGAAGTTTACGTGGTAATTTTCTGCCGATCGAGGTTTAGAAGTTGAATTGGAATCAGTGTTCGGCACGCGATCAGTCATTTAAAGTCATAATAATTTAACTGAAATCAAGTCACAGAACGTTTTGACTCTCCGAAACATGATGCAAGTAAAATCTCAGAGAGGAGGGAGAATAAGAAGATACTGGGAAGAAAGACTAAAAACTCGGGTTCTTGTAAGATTGTCTCGACGATAAATCATCCGTCTGCGAGATGGAGTCATCTCGCGTTAATGCACGGGCTCGTCGAGAAATCCGGGATCATGGGATTCTCTAGACATTCATTTATGGACTATAAAGGAGCTTGGACACTCCATTTTCGTTTCCGGTTGGCAACAGAGTCTTCCATCGCGGCCAAATTTCGATAGAAAGTTTTCCTCTTAGAAGTGGACATCTGCCAACTACGTTCACTTCCAGTAGGCACGATGACGCAAAAATGTTATATTGTTCTTGTTGCGAAGCTCCGACTGAGAACCGC